AGTAAGTCGTATCTGTTGGAATCTGAAATAAAAAAAATCTCACTAGATTTTTGAAGCTTTATGGTTTTAACATCTGCTTTGATAAATTAGTCTGATAAACATTGTTCATTTTATAGCGTTTAATGAATTATTTTTAATATTAATAACGTTCGGGACATCAAACCCGATTTTGTTTAATAACGAAATTTAGTTTTTTATTTACCATTTAGTCTTTTAGATCTTTATTTTTATTTTAATCCATATTTTAAGACTTTCATAAAATTTCAATGTATGAAAATTAACTAAAACGATTAAGTTTAAATAAAATTATAAGATTAAAAACAACGTGTCTGATAGTTTGAGTAAATATAACCTTTTTTTATTAATTGATAATATGAATGTTTGAGTACCGGAATTAAGATCAGAATGGAATGTGATAACATGATATGGTGAGCTCAAATGACGTGACAATATCAAACAGATGATGAGAATAAGGTTGCTTGGAAGAAATCGCTATTTAGCGATAAGGCCGCCTATTGTTACATTTTTCTTTTCTTTATATTTAATGTACATATTAATTTATGTAATTGATATTTCTTTCTGTGAAAGGAACAATAAAAAGTTATTCATTAATTTAATAGTGTAAGCATTCATTCATTCATTCATAATTTAAGAGCGACGCTCTTGTCGGTGGAACTCTTGCCACTTTCCACGATCTTCCATAGTAATGGTGTAATAACACTTTTAAATTTTCTTCAGCCGATGTTTGTTTTTCTTTTATCAACTCCTAAATGCATTCTGACATATCTACAACATATATTTTTAGTTATTATATTCGTGAATAGTTTACATTAACATACCGAGGTGAGATTTGCCCAAGTGATCTGCGTGGGTACCTGCGTTTCACAATATTTGTGCCACCAAATAGTTTGCTTCCTGAGTCGAATTGCAGTTGAGATAAGGCAGTGAAATCACAGGTTAAGAGGCATGACATCTTATTCCTCTGAAATGACAACAAATTTTTGCTGAACGCAAACCTCGAAAACGACTGGGTAGAAACTATTTCTTAAAAGAGCAACACGCAAGTTTCTTTCTCGTTCTTGTGATGAGATAGCTTCAAATGAGCGATAGATTAAAGAAATAAGTGATGTCTATTCAAAAGTGATTCAATGAAAGTTTATTTGATTAAATAATTTTATATTCTATTTTATTTAATCATTTCTTGAATTTCAAGGAAGATTGTTATGAATAGAAAAAATTGAACAAATATGAATAATTTTCTATTCTATTTAAACATTTCTTAAAGGGAAATATCTTCCGTTTCAAGGAAGATTCTTATGAATAAAAAAAATGGATAAATCTGAATAATTTTCTATACTATTTAAACATTTCGTGTAGGGAAATATCTTCCGTTTCAAAAAAGATTTTTATGAATAAAAAAATGGACAATTCTGAATAATTTTCTATTCTATTCTATTTAAACATTTCTTAAATTCAAGGAAGATTCTTATAAATGGAAGAATTGCCCGGAATGACGTTCAATCTCTACTTGTCTAATTTTTATGTAATCTATTCCTGGATGGCGTGATATAAACATTTCATTCAAATGAAATTGCTGTCATACAAACCAATGACGTCGCTTCTACGACAGATGTCGGTGATCTTAGTTATCTGACGAATTACTTCAGGTTTGATCCCTTAGAGAAATTCCAAATAGAGCCCGTTCCATAGCGCGTTGAGGATTAAGTTGATGGACCAGTTGTATCGTCAGTATCTACTTTTTGGCACCGTCAAGTATTAATATAATAATAATAATAATATCTCAACTCACACAGCGACATCTAGTCCCAAGCTAGTGTTATACATAGGTACTAGACAACTGATGTAAATACATAGATACATTCATATTTGTAAATTCATTCTTAGAAAATACCCAGACCGGCCATTTCTTTATTTAAAAGAGTTTATTAATCAAAAGATTTATTCGCATGTTGATTCTGTGCTAATTTTGTGAAGACTTGAACTAGTTTTTTTTTAATATGGAACCAAATATTAAATTATCCATATCATATGACGAATTATTGTGACAAAAATATCTCATGAATCAAAACACGCTTATTCGAGGCCGCGTTCCAGTTTACGTAATAACGAACGCATCGCCGTGTTCCCAGCTCCCAAATAATATCATGCAAACCATCCTATGTTTCTATACCCCAGTGGTGTAGCGGTTTGCACACGATCTTACTTCCGATTGTGGCAGGTTCGATTCCTCGCAAGTTACAATCATTTGTAAGTAAATCATTTGCATTACAGACAGATAGATAGATACATAACAATCAAGCCACAGTGATATTAGCAGGCTGCGTTGTAATATGACTTTTCCCATGCAAATATTTATTACTAAACCTAACAATTATATACTTATTTGAGATTCACAATTAAAAGATTTTTATTATTATTAATTTCAATACATTATTATTATTTTAAAATACTATCGTCACTACAATAAAACACACAACTATTTACACTGCGCGTCACCACATGACCAAAAAAGCGACCAAAAAAATTAATACAATTCCAGTATTTTTAAAATGAAACCTGTCGCGTTTCAAATGCGCCATCTGTATCATAGATGAGAAACAAACTTAGTAATTTATTTACATTATTTTTAATTGGTAATCGGTCAAATAAAATTCAACAATTTCGTCAATTTATTTTTAAAATGATGTCCTGCAAATGTTGTATTTAAACTTTCCTTTATTGGTCTAGTCAAATTCAAATTCAAAAATCATTTATTCATATATCATTCACTTTTAACCGCTTATGAACGTCAATTTTTCTCTCTACCGTCCAGTTCAGTATTGAGATTCAATTAAGAAGAACTGGCAAGAAACTCAAATGAATTTCTTCTTTTTTTAAAAAGGCAGTTTTTACATTGTTTATTATAGGTGTCTATGTCTAACATTTAAGGAAAATCATTTTTATGTATACAAAAAATAAATATTTAATTATTTCTATCAGTTGTGTAGTACTTACAAAACAATTGCTACTTTGAATTAGATCACGCTAACTATTGTCCTGGGTTCTTATTATTATTAATTACTAGGTGTACCCGCGATTTCACCTGCGTTAAATTTCGATATATACATTTCAATATAGCCTGTGTTATTCTGATGTATAAGCTATATAGTTTCATAAAAATTTGTTCAATAGTTTTTGCGTGAAACAGTAACTAATCCATACTTACGAACTTTGGTATTTATAATATTATTAAAATTATTGATTAGTATTTGAAAACATATACACTAACGTGTAGCCTATTCCTTATGACTCGTACTAACTTCCTACGCTGTATCGAAATGGGAACTTTGGTTTTATAACTTCCTTCATATGTTATGACCTACGCTTCCTCTGTATGACCTTTGTAACTACACAAATCTAAATTAAGAACTCTAGATTCAGTATTCTGGATCTACCTAAATCATTAAGACACGTTACGCCGTATGTGAGTGATCGCAAAGGCATCCCGTTCATTGCTTCTATAGTGTTATTTACCCACGTGTTTGCTTTGGATTGGATCTTAAAACATTAATATTAAACTCCACAGTGATAGCAAAGCGAGGTGCTTTTTATTTTATAAATATGACGTCAATTTACCAGAGCCGTTTGCGAAACGAAAACAAACGTACGGAAAATTACGGTAGAAAGTTTGGATGGAGCGTGGCTTAAGTGTTTATTGGCCTGACTTGTAACATAAGGATGGGAATTCAAATCTGGCTGGTACTAAAAATGTTTTTATGTACCAAAATATATAATTCTGATTAATTCTTCAGTGATGGAAAAGTCGATAACAGAGCATAATTCCGTATTACAGCTGTATTAGGACATGAGAATTTAAATTTGAATTTAGCAGCACTAAAAAGCTTTTATGTACCTAAATTTATATTTCTGATTGATTATTCAGTGATGGAAAAGTCGAAAACAAAGCAAAATTTAACAAAGTATTACGAATTAAATATAGCCAGAGAAATTGACATATCATCATAATGTGAGTCTGATAATGCCTCAAGCTACATGAATAAAGATGTTTTGTTTTTTATTAAGTTGAAGAAAGTTTTACGAACTGCAAAATAGACAACTGTCTGTCTCTAGTCTGTCTATGACAATCATTGGTAATTGAATTAGTTCTCTAATCCAACAGAGGTCACAGAGCTACAGCTTATTTACTACAGTCTACCGTCACGACTGCTCCTAACTTTTCTTTCCACAGACACAAACTCCGTGGTCTTATTATGTTAATCTTTTACATTTCTGTTTGACTTAAATTGATTTATTTAAGTAAATCTATTTTGGATAGGCCCCATATAACAATTTTATGGATGTTAATATAATATAAAAATAAAACAATAATAAAAATTTACCAAAATTAAGTTCAAATATTTGACTGCTCCTAGTTAGTTTTATTTACAATTATTTAAAAGAACAACACGCAATTTTCTTTCTCGTTCTTCATGTGACGATGCAGCTTACCGAATGATCGGTAGATTAAAGAAAAGAACTATGACTATTCAAAATTGCTTAAATTTAAGTGTATTTGAATAAATAATTGTATATTCTATTCTATTTAATTATTTCTTGTACTTCAAGGAAGGTTTTTATGAATAGGAAAAAATAAAACATTATCCGTAATAATGTAAAATCTTCATTTACCTTATTCTTATGTAAAGTATTCCTAGGTGGCGTAATTTAGATATTTATATTTCAAAAATAACTATGATGGATTTAAGATATTCTATTCTATTCTATTTCTAATATGTCTAACAGCTTACGTCGTAATATGCAGCTAATTTAACAAAATCGTTAAATTAACTCAAAATGACAATGAGAGTCAAGTTATCAATCACAATATGCAAACCTTTTTAACTATACTCTAGTGTTTGTTCATAGGCTTTGGTGGGTTATCATCAGGCGTGTCGTATGGCTTGTTCAAATATGTAATCCAATGTGTTGCTTGTCCACAGTGATCTCGAGCCGTGTGCAACAACAGCACCCTCTGGCAGCAGCAGCAGTTCCAGTTTATCATCACGCAGCAATGAAAACTTCGACAGTCAAATAAATTGTTTGTTTTCAATGCATTTATATGGAACTTCATCCGCGTGGAATTATATATTTAAAATTATGGTAATTTAATAAATATATATTTATGCCTATGCCCCGGCCGACTAGTTCTAAAATTGGAACTTGGCAGATGAATATACATCTCATTATTAAGGCACCTTTGAAAACTTCGACGTCAAATAAATTGTTTGTGTTCAATGCATTTATATGGATTTAATAATTATATATAATTATTAAAAAAAAATCACGATAATTATCTAATTGTACAATTAATAAGTATTATTAACATATTGTAAACATGATATTCATCCTCAGCATCCCAGTCCGACTGGTCAGAAGAAGACGAGCCTCTGGCGGCGCAGTGGGCCGACAGTCTTCCCCCACATGTTCTCGAATCGCTGAAACTGTCTTCGGCGATGCGGAAACGGCAAGAGGTCATACATGGTAAGAGACAGCGTATGTACGTACTAGTTAACCCCCGCAGCTTCGTCCGCGTATGTGTTAGACGCCATCTATTGACGATATTTTGTAGAGACCAAATTAGCATTCCATGAACACACCATGAGGGAGCCGGGTTCACCGTGTGGTAGAGAGAGAAACTCGTTTTGTTAGCCGTTGTTTTTACTACCGGAATTGCCACTTCGATATTTCTATTGGCAATAAACAAACGACGTAAATTAATTAAAAAAAAAATAAAGAAAGAAAATAGTTTATTTGGTACATAACAATAATAAAAATAATTTTTAAACTTTAAATTACATACTGGTTTATATTAATTACGTAGTACCAAATAGATTTCCGTTCAGCATATGTCGTGACGGGGTTCCACGACGCTGGTATTCTGTAATTAATTATTATTATTCGTCATTGCCTTGCCTTTATCCCATTATTTGGGGTCGGCGCAGTATGTCATTCTCTTCCACTGCTCTCTATCGGTCGTCATATCTAAACATACTCTTCTTTTATTCATATCATCTTTCACACAATTCATCCATCTTTTCTTAGGGCGTTCCCTCCCTTTACATCCATCCACATTCATATTATACACTTTCCATAACACATGATCCTCGTTCCTCCGCATAACATGCCCATACCAGCTCAATCTGTTACCTCGCAACTTATCTATAAATCAATTATTATTATTATTAAATATGACAATGGGCAGGGCACATAGCTCGTAGGACAGATGGCCGTTGGGGCAGTAAAGTCCTCGAGTGCCGACCACGGACCGGAAGACGCAGCATGGGAAGGCCTCCAGCAAGGTGGACCGACGATCTGGTCAAGATCGCTGGAAGGCATTGGATGCGAGCAGCGCAGGACCGATCGTCGTGGAGATCTTTGGGGAGGCCAATGTCCAGCAGTGGACGTCTTCCGGGCTGAGATGATGATGATGATGATTATTAAATAAAATTATTTATACAACGCCACCTAATATTGTATTGATACTATAAACTAATTATTAATAGTTAATGACGTATTTAAGATTAACAAGTGTTAACAAGTGAAACTACTAACTTAGCCATTAGGTTTAGTATTTTGAAAAAATTTACACCATTGCTCGGTTATTTTTTATAGTTCGCTTTAAATTTCGCTTAACTATAAAAATAAACTGATAATTAATGAGAAAAGTTACGAATAAATAAAACAGTATATTTGAATTTCTAATTACATATTATTGTTTTCGTGTCTTCCAGAACTAATAGTGTCTGAGGGATCCCACGTGCGTTGGCTGAAGGTGCTCGGCGGCGTGTTCCTCCGCCCCCTGGAGAGTCACCCGGCTCTCCTCTCGCCCGACGAGCTACGAGCCCTGTTCCCCAACTTGCCCAGCGTGAGGGAGCGCCACGCTCGCCTCTATAGCGAATTACGCGCTCTACGGAACGATACACCATCGCATCTCGTTCAAATACGACCGCTAGCTGACGCCATGTTGAATACGGTGGGTTTTTTTTTTTAATTAATTGACGATCTCAGTGGTGAGAGGTTTAGCAAACAGAGTGGAGGTCAACCTGACATGGTACAGTGCTAGCAATGAAGTTATTAGTCCACATTACTAACAATTCATGAGGTATCTGTTATTGGCTTTACTAACTAAGTAAAACTATATATTGTCTATAAATTGTATAAGCTGTTGATTACCTAAAATAAATAAATAAACAATCATCCCCCCCCCCCCTCCCCCTCCCCCCTCCCCAATATGGCTCATTAAATGTGTTATGCTAACTATTGCGTTGACTACAACATCAACAGTTAACAAGGTTCTGGCTACCCCCATCTAGGATAATAGTCGTGACGGTGTGTGTATGTATTTTACATTAATCTTTAATCGATTTATGGCAATTGCGTAAGTAATTGCGTACAGAACAAAATACCAGAGTTCTAAATCTGCCTGATAAAAGATTTAAGTATCGTATAAAAAACGTATAAGTTCGTTAACGATAATAATGTTTTTTGTATACAAAATTAAAATCCATAGCGCTGGCAATATTATCTGATTGCACTAAGAATGAGTGCGTAGCGGTTTCTATGTTGATTATCGCATGCCTCTTACTTGTTATTGTGTAAATATTTTTATAAAAAAATCTATTGAAAAGAGCAACACACAAGTTTCTTGCTCATTCTACTTGTGATGAATCTGCGTTCAGAATGAAAAATTGACTATTCAAAAGTGCTTGTATTGAGTTTCTTTAAATAAAGATTATTTCTATTTCTACAGCTAGGAGAGTCTGGCTACTCGTCGTGTTTGGCGCGATTCTGTCGAGGCCAGCGACTAGCATTGGAGTCTCTTCGTGAACGTCGCAAGAAGAATAAAGAGTTGCATCAGTTTTTGTCCAGCCGCGAACAGTTGCCGTTGTGTGGTCGACTACAGCTGAGAGATTTGCTCGCTTGTGTGTGGCAGAGGTAAGATTTGACGGGCTCGGTGGTCTAGCCGTTTAGCTTTATTTATGGTGGTTGCGGGTTCTATTCCTCGCACGGTGCAAATTTTGTATTTATAAGTATGATTGTTTGCTTCGATATAGGTGTTTTCTGTGTATAGTATGTATGTATTTACAAAAAATATCTGATTATTTATATCAGTTGTCTAGTACCCATAATACAAGCTCTGCTTAAATTGGGACTAGATAACGTTGTGTGAATTGGTCAAGGGTATTTTTATAATTATATCCTCTTTTTTGTAATTATATATTGTATAGCTATTTAAATTAAATATTTAATCATATAACTTAAGTATTACGTAACTGTGTATACTTTGTTCCAATATAATTTAATGAAGACGTAAATATCATTATTCATCAGACCTTAGAGTACCATAGACAGTTTCAGTCCCAATAGTGAAGCAGACACTTTATTAAATATGAATCCAATTCAACAAACTTCGATTTTAGTGTATCCACGAACTGTCACATATTCGGAGTTAAAATATTCGTTAGTTTTTCTGAAAATTTCCAATTTTATGTTTTCATGCACCTCTGTACTAATAATGGAATTCATCAACCATAGATTCGCTTAGATAATTCGTTTGTTTACGTTTTTATTAACTTATATTGAAACGGAGTATAATTTGTCCTTTTTAGACTGACAAAATACCAGTTGCTACTTGAGGGTGTACTGAAGACTGTGGGCGAGAATGACGATGAAAACGAAGAAGATTTAGCTCGCCTTAAACGAGCTCTAGACGTGGCCAAAGACGTATTGCATACTGTCGACACGGCGATACACACGGCTGAGAATGAGCACAGGTATGTGATGAGAATATATGCAGATTGTGACGAGAATAATTTCAGATATGACGAGAATAATTTCAGATGTGACGAGAACTATTGAGAATAAGTATGAGTTAAGACGTTGAATGTGATTATTGATTTCGAATATGATGATTAACGTGTTTGTATTTATGCAAAGAGAATTAACACTTAGATATATCAGAGTATTTAAAAAAAACATTTTTAAAAACTGAACGATATATGCCATAAATAATTTATGGAAATAAGATAATGTGTAGTCTAAGACTACGTAATTTCTATGTATGTGATGAATTACAGGTTGAAATGTGAATTATATATGTATATATGGTCGTAGGCATTATATTTTGTTCTCATAAATGAGAAGTTGTGCTACTTCAGCTCATTTGCCGTTGTAGTAACAAAAAATTACTGAGAATAGATGCATAATGTGTTGAGAATATTTTCATAAACGAAATGCAATGAAGTGTATAACGCAAATATGTGTGTGTATAACAAGATTGTGGTGTCTGGTATGCAGGTTGCGTGCCATCCAGAGCAAGCTGGAGGTTCGTGCGCCCGCGACCGGGGAGTGGGACGAGCTGCGGCGGCTCGAACTCACGCAGCGACGTCTGCGGCACGAGGGAGAGCTGTTCATACGCAGCGACACCAACAAGAAGATCGCAGTACTAGTACGTACTAAACTACACGCACTTGTAAAACATTAATCTGTAGTTTCTTGTATGTAATCATGTGCAAGCACATTTGAAAGAATAAAAGCCGGGTTCCTTGTCAGTTGTTCTTAGCTCGAAAGGAAAATTCGACCGTACGTTGGTTTCGACTTGTCATAACAATATTTAATAGACCTACACGTGTAAAGATATTTTGATTTTATTTACTGTAGCCATCTAAATGACTCGTCTTTTTTTATCGCCTGGCAATTTTTGTCTTGCAGTTTTTAAGTCAAAGAAAAATAATTTATTCAACTATGTCTACCGTCCAATTGTATTAGCGACTTCAATTAAAAAGATTGAAAAACAAAGAGGTATAATAGTTGTCCTCCTCTGTTCTTCAGCTTCACGGGATGATACATGGCGAGTGCGACACGTGATAACGTGATGTCTGTGGTGTTATGCGTGTATATAGTATATGGATTACCAATTACCGTCGTTTGGCGTTCCGAAATATTTTAGTAATGTTACTTATATATTACAGGCCCTGATGCTGGAAGACAGTTTGGTGTTGCTGCAGCGAGAGGGCGAAAAATTCGTCCTCAAACCGATACAAGTGCGGGCAGACCCGAGCCAGCCGGGCTCACTGTCGCCACTTATTAAATGGTTCGTATATATGTATCGCCACTAATTAATTAAATTCATCATTATTATCACCATCTTCAAATGTCACTATTGTCAGGTTAGTATAGTGTGCTTTATCACCTGGTAGACTTTATGATATCTTAATACATATTATTCATGATGAGGGATTTCTTATATGTCCACCTTTTTATATATATTTTTTTTAAATAAAAATGTTATTCAAATGTCTTTATTTTTCTTCTTTTTCCTTGGGTTCGATGTCTTTATTTATTTATTAAATATACTATTTCCTCCAAAGAAATCAGTTTACAGCTAGTAGTTAATAAGAAGAGACGGTCTTCTTATTAACTACTAGCTGTAATCGCGACTTCGTCCGCGTGAAATTTAACTTTATTTTTCTAAAATGAAAGTAGCCTATGTTACTCCTTATTACATCAGCTACCTGCCAATAAAAGTACCGTCAAAATCGGTCCAGCTATTTCAGAGATTAGTCAGAGTTAGTTAGTAGTAGAGATAGGAACAAACAGACAGGCGGACAAAAATTGTAAAAAATGTTATTTTGGTGTATTTATATTCATATGCATGTAGTAAAAAACGGTTACTTCAGTATTACAAACAGACACTCCAATTTTATTATATTTATATGTATAGTCGCTTCGTTCGCACTTAATCAGCCCTTTAGAAGTCGAGGAGATTCGTTAGGACAGTTTGAACTCTTCATGAGTTCTAGTCGTTAGCCCTTTGAATACTTTGAATTTCAGAAGAGGTCCAGTCGTAATAACAGATTTTGAATTCTATTCAAACAGGGATAAGGTTCTGTTCCGGCCAAACGCCGCGGTACGCAACACTTTCTTCCTCATGAACATCAACGGCGTACAAATGCACGAGCTTTCTGTCAACAATCTCACGGATTATGCTACGTGAGTTACATCTTGATATAGATTTTTTTTAATAATAACTTCCCTTGTAACTTCTAATTAACCACCATTTAGTAATTTATTTAATATATCGTTATAAAATAATATCATTACGTAACAAATTACGAGACTTACGATGACAATTGATCCTTCGAGCCGGATTTTTTTCTTTTATTATTTTATCAGGTACTGCATGATAATTATATTTTTAAACCATAATTTACATTTTTAACTACACTGAATAAATTTAACCTACAACGATATTTTGACTTAAACTAGATTTTCCTAATTTGGAATTATTTTACAGATGGGTGAAACACATTCAAGAATCACCATTGGCTAAGTTGGCCGAAACGAAACCAAACATAACGCCGTCACATCAGGCGAGCCGCTCCAATGATGATTCAGGTATTGTTTCTTTATCATCATTTCAGGTATTCTCAGCTTCCAAAAAAAGGTCTGATCAAAAGCTTCAGTCATGGATAAAAAACAGATATGACATAAATAGGCCCATTTTAGAAACCGTCTCATATATTCATTGGCTGCTCTCTCATATATTCAATTTCTAGTATAGAACCTCTGTTCATATCCCTGACTTCATTCAGTATTCAATTCTATAGGCGACGGTTATGACTTTTAATTAGGTCGTGGACTTAACCCACGTTCAGTCAGTTCGGTCATATAAAAAAATAAATGATATTTGGTTTTTGGATATCAGTTGATAAATAATGAAACAGAATTGAATGTACGCCTTTGCCGAAATTCATCTTCGTATGAATTTCGGCAAAAGCGTAAATGTGGGCTAGTATTTTATACTGCGTTATTTGTAATCAGGTATAAACGTATCTCGCAATCCATCTGATGCGTCCGAAAAGTCAACATCGACGGCTCCAGCAGACGAACCCACTGAGATTGAACGAGATAGAGCATCTCTAGAGCGCTCCTCTGTCGAGAGGGATAAGGACGACAAGAAGACTGAAAGGGAAGACCGCAGGTCCAGTGAGAAGGAGGGAGAAGTCGCGGAGAGGGAAGAGAAACATGTGTGAGTAGTCTTTTATATTATTCAAAATATTATTGTGGTTCTTTAAAATAAAAAAATAGTACGGAAAATTTTAATGAAATTGTTCTTAAAAAGTTGGCCATTCTTGAACGTCACCATCAAATTTAGGTATATTAATTATTGAATTTCTATCGGAGTACTTTTACGTTCGTGATAGAAGAAATTAATTACGATGATTGCCAGACTACAGGTCATTGACCTCATTATTAAGTTTCCCCTCCTCGTATATAACAGTTTTGTTTGTGTACACGCAGCCCGCGGCGGCCGACAGTGGGCCGCATCAGCACGCACTGCGGCAGCCCGCGCCCGCTCGAGTGCGGCGCCGCGCTCACCGTGCGCGCGCCCGCCGCGCCCCGCACCGCGCACGCAGTCTGCACGCCGCAAGGTACCACACACTACACCACACTGCGGCGCACGGGCCGCAGCAGCACGCACTGCGGCAGCCCGCGCCCGCTCGAGTGCGGCGCCGCGCTCACCGTGCGCGCGCCCGCCGCGCCCCGCACCGCGCACGCAGTCTGCACGCCGCAAGGTACCACACACTACACCACACTGCGGCGCACGGGCCGCAGCAGCACGCACTGCGGCAGCCCGCGCCCGCTCGAGTGCGGCGCCGCGCTCACCGTGCGCGCGCCCGCCGCGCCCCGCACCGCGCACGCAGTCTGCACGCCGCAAGGTACCACACACTACACCACACTGCGGCGCACGGGCCGCAAGGTACGCCACACCACACTGGGCTGCGGTGCACGAGCCACAAGGTACGCCACAGTAGACCAGGCTGCGATGCACGGGTCGTAATGTACGTCAAACTACATCGGACTGCGGTGTACGGGCGGCAAGGTACGCACATACTACACCGGGCTGCGGTGCACGGTCGACAAAGGTACGCACACGCACTACACCAGGCTACACACCATACCGAGATACGGGCCGCAGCAGCACGCACTGCAGCAGTCCGCGCCCAGTCTAAACCTTGCAGCTTTCTAAAATTCCTCATCGTAAATTCGACATCTTGGTAATAGATTGGGGTCTCTTGATCATTGCTCCGATGTATTCCGTCCAGCATCATTATCCTCGCTTCGACGTTCAATGGACACTCTCACAGGGTACAATGGATGTCCTCGTCTTCCGCTCCGCAATTACTAAAGCATTACCTTACGCGTAATACATACAATATTTCATACTCTCCACCAATTGGAATCTCTCCTGGACCTCGTCTTATCTCACCGATATCATTTGCAGAGCGGCTACGGCGGCTGGACGAGGTGATAGCGCGCGCGCTGCGCGCCAAGAGCAGCGTGGTGGGGTCGCTGCTGGGCGTGCCGGCGTCGCAGTTCGCGCAGGTGGCCGAGCTGGCGGCGGCCGAGGCGCAGGGCGAGCTGGGCGCCGCCGACGACGACCACGTGCACCAGCTGCTGCTGGCCGCGCACGCGCAGCTGCACCGCCTCACGCTGCAGGTGTCGCGCGCCATGACCCTCGGCGACGCGGCCGCCGTCGCGGCGCGCGCGCGGCTCGGCGCCTGCGACCACTGCGCCGCGCGGCCCGGACACGCCGGACACGTGCCGCCCGGACACGTGCCGCCCAGCCCGCCCGCGCTCGCCGGACACCCCGGACACGCGGCGCCCAGGCGGACGCTCGCGCGTACTTCCACTATTCGCAGCGAAGGTTTGTCATTTCTTTAGTAATATGTTATACTAGCTGTGCCCGCGGTTTCACCCGTTAAATTTCAATATAAAATATAGCCTATGTCTTATTGTGACGCTTAAGCTATGTTTCTGTAAAGCAGCAAATCCGTTCAGCAGTTTTTTCCTGAAAAAGTAACAAACATCCCTTTCACTTTCGCGTTTATATTATTACTAGCTGTTCCCTCGACTTCGTCCGCGTGGAATTTAACTTTATTTTTCTAGAATAAAAGGTTCCGCTACGTACTTAATCTCTGTTCAATCAGATAACAGCATTTAGGATTAGTATTAGGATTCTGTTCTTTTTACTATTTCTGTAAAAACACCGATTATTGATACGTCTTTTAAGAGATATTTTTTTTACAGATAACATGGAACCACCAAGCGAAAGCGAAGAGAGATTTGATGAGACAGACTTCAAAATATCCGAGTCTATGAGCATAATTGACAGTATAGATAGAGAGTTGTCGTTCGACATGTTAACCGACCTCGACGGGTCTATGGACGTTCTAGAAGACGACCCTGAAGATGCGTTAGGTGAGATTCTTTTACTTTTTTTTTTATAACACAGGGACAAACGAGCCAGCGGCTCACCTGATGGTAAGTGATTACCGCCGCCCATGAGCACCCGCAACACCAGGGGAATTGCAAGTACGTTGTCGGCCTTTTAAAAAGGAATAAGTTTCTTGAAGGTATCGTATCGTATCGGTTCGGAAATACCATTGCTGGAAGGTGATTCCACAATGTGGTTGTGCGAGGCAAAAAGTTTCTAGAAAACCGCACTGTGGAAGACCGCCATTCATCCAGATGATCAGGATGGTATTTCAGTTTCTGGCGGGTGGTACGGTGGTGAAACTCAGCAGCTGGTATTAATCCGAACAATTCCTCCTTACTTGTTTTTAATAAACGACGAAGAACTATTAATGTAAGTCTAAGACTTGTGTCAAATATAAACAGTTTTTAAGTGTACTTAAAAAATACAGCAAAATTTTATTGGTGTCAACAACGAAATGACGATGTAATATGTACCAGTAAAATTAAAAGATGTTAGTGAGTGTGAATGAAATGGGATGAAAATATTTCAACGATAAGTAAGTAGGAAGCAAGAGCCGTCGATTATAGATCAATTTATAATTTGTGTTTAAACGAATTAATTCGATAAACAATTCTAGTCCATCATTTGATGTAATATTTAGTAATTATCGGCATTTGGTGGAATTTGGGAAGCTGCCATTGTAATTTATAAATTTGTTGAAAAAGATTCTTTGTCAATGAAACGCCATATTGTGTAATATTTTCTAACGCGGATATGTTCCAGTAAATGGTACAACTTTCCGTCAAACCATGATCATACTAACCTCGCGGTTTAACCGGCTGAATCTGCCACGAATGGATGCTGAAAATGCATACAGTCAGCATTACTCTGCAGCACTGCAGTCATTTTCTTGATTCCTACATACAATTTATTACTCCTTGTCCTTGTCCTCTATATATGTTTTCTCCTTCTTCTGGGGCAGCGAACGATACATGAACAGCTTCGGTGCCGGCCTACACTCCTGGCATCCGGTGCCGGCCAGCACTCCTGGCGTCTGGTGGCGTCATATCTTTTATTTAATCTGTTTCTTGTCCCATCTGTTCGCTTTTTCCCCCTTCTGGGGCAGTAGACGAAACATCAACTTCGGTGCCAGGCGATACTCTTTCTGCAGCGTCTTATCTTTTTAGGCGCGAGCCATTTGAAGTCCTCTCGTGCTCACACAACAACACGAACTTCCTTAGCCTTCTAAAATTCTCCTAGATAAAAGATTTCCCGTACAGCATACGCAGTGTTTATTACAGAGAGCGGCGGTGGTGCGGGCGCGGCGCTGACTGGCGCGCGGCTGGCGAGCGGGCTGGGGGCGCTGGGCGGCACGCTGGGCCGGCTCATGGCCACGCTCCCGGCCAGGGAGCGCGAGCGCACGCTGCTGCGCCGGCAGCTGGCCGCCCAGCGCGAGCTCAACGACCGCCTGCACCACGCCCAAGGTACACCCACACACATTTTCCGCCTGCACCACGCCCAAGGTACACTCGCACACATTTACCGCCTGCACCACGCCCAAGGTACACTCGCACACATTTACCGCCTGCACCACGCCCAAGGTACACTCGCACACATTTACCGCCTGCACCACGCCCAAGGTACACTCGCACACATTTACCGCCTGCACCACGCCCAAGGTACACTCGCACACATTTACCGCCTGCACCACGCCCAAGGTACACTCGCACACATTTACCGCCTGCACCACGCCCAAGGTACACTCGCACACATTTACCGCCTGCACCACGCCCAAGGTACACCCACACACATTTTGTACTGACTCCTTGCCCTCCGTTCCGACGTCTCGACAGTAATGCAGTTGCTAGTAAAAATGTTTGTTTTTTATGAGTTTGAGCATGTTTTATTTTTGTTATTTTTGATGTATCAGACATCAAAATCAAAATCATCAGTATAATCTTATTAATTTACATCGTTGAAATTTTATTTATTACCTTGTTTGTAAATAACCTTTCGAATAAAATATTAAAATATATTGTGAATGTTTGTATGTTTGATACAATATACCAATGATAGACTGATACCTGTGATGCTGTTAATAGGCGACTATGACCTGTTAAAATATAATAAAATTAAATATGTTTAAACTTGTGATGCATAAGTAAGTCTTATGTAAATGAGAAAGTCTCATTTACGTTAAAAAATTTAATAATAATTAAATATCATCATCATCATCTGCTTCTTCCTTATCCCATTTATTTGTGGTCGGCGTAACATGTTTTTCTCTTCCATTCATCCCTGTTCGCAGTCATCTCGTTATTTACTCCCTTTCTTACCATAACATCTTTCACACAGTCCATCCACCTCTTTTTCGGCCTTCCTCTGCCTCTCTCTAAATATAATATGTATATTTTATAACGCTAGTCCGTGCCGTTGAGTGCTATAACACTAATTTTCTATCGGAATAATATTATAATTATATTATTAATTGCATTTAATAATGTTACAGTTAGTCAAATACCCGAAGAGATCTCGGTGGCGAAACCACCCACAGACCAATCGATACAGGTAAATAATCTTATTTTTTAAATCTATTACCCAAATTGTACAAAAAACTATCGGCAATATAAAATTACCAAACATAAACAAACTTTACTAGACTCAATAGGAACACATTGGAAAACCTACTTTAATATTTCAGCTATAAAGTACATTTTGAAAAATTACTCAAAATGTAAAAGTTGTTCGTTAATACGGTTTATTATTGAGTGTCCGATTTTATAATAAAATACATAAATAAATCTAAGATTAAAAAAAGTCTCCATGTCCGATGACTTACCAGCCATTACATTTTTACATTATTGTATCCCTCGACAACTCACACAGCGTCATCTAGTCCCAAGCTAAGCAGAGCTTGTGTTATGCTTGACAACCGATATAAATACATATATACTTTTTTTTTTTGTAAATACATACATAATATATATAGAAAACAGCCAGACCGATACAAACAACCGTACTCATGAATACTAGTGTTGGTTTCTGGAATTGAACCTGCGACCATCGGGAGTGAAGCGGTGTGCTAAACCGCTAGACCACCGAGGCTGTCAATTATTATTTTGTACCCCTTTGTTGTAAGACTATTTTAATGTTTTCATTATATATTATTGTTTCCAGGACCAACCCAGCAATGGCGGGTGATCGCATGGCAAAGATAAAGCAAAACTGAACTAATGATGACATTTTTAAACCTACACTCCCTTATTTATAAAGGTTACAACATAAACGAACACATTTGAAATGTTTTGTCTCTGTCTTTCAAATTAAATAGATAATTTGGAAGAAAAGAACAAAACTACAATAAGGGAGTAAGTATGGCTGGCGCGAGACAGCGCCAATACCATATTGCGGACGAAACTGGAACTAATCATAGACAAAATGGCGGTAACGCCCTAAGTAGTAGTGATGTATAACTTATGTACGAATTAATAGCTTCATCATAATCGGTTTAGCATTTATATTATATAAAAAAAATACTATAATGTCATCGTTTTTGTTATTTACCATTAATCGAATATCGACTTGTATATTTTGTAATATTGATGTTTTCTATTTGTCTGTACCCTGTTTTTAAGTACGAAACTATAGTTAGAAGTAATCTAAATAATATTATTCCATAATTAAGTTTATTTTATGTGATGCTTTGAAGATTAAGTGAAATATATGTTTTCTCTCTCTCTCTCTTTCTTGTACATTATAACATTTTCCAAAACGAAACCTAAGTTATGTTGAAATGTAAATAAGCGATTGTTCTAGACGGGACGCTGACGTCTCGTTATGTTAATTATAGTATATATTTTTGTGTATAATAATAAAATATAGAATTGTTACATTATAACATTGTAATTTATAAATATGTATTCGATTTTTAAAGTATTACTCTTGACAATATATAAAAAAAACTATATTTAATGAGAAAACGTAATCTCAATATGGTATTCGATCAAATCAGTTAAAAATTTTGTTCCAAATCATTTGAAAGTTATGTTCGTAGTGTTTTTTTTATTGTAAGTTAAAAATTGATCTATCGACGATCATTATTTATATATACTATTCAAATATATGTTTATTTAGCTTCGAGACAAAATATTAATAGCATTAGTAAGTGGTTCTAGAAATTTCTTACTCAAATACGGTATAAAAAGGAATTTTTCATGATGACGATTATGGTGATGATGATGATGATGATACTCATATACATTGTAAGATATTATATCTAAAGTAGATTCAGTATAACCCTTCAATGCAATGTAGACTTGTGGAGAAATATTATTAATCTTATTTTGTTTATATTCTGTCTCAAAGTTATATAAATAACGTAAGTTGATGTTAAACTTGTTACTTAAATGTATTCATTCCGAAATCATTGAATAATCAATAAATATTAAATAAATCTTTAGATCGATAATGCATCTTTATTAAAAAAATTACCAAAATTTTTTTTTTATTAAATTCAATGATTAATGTTCTAGATAATTTTCAAAGTAAAACAGTATTCAAATATGGTTTCAAGTTACGATAATATTTTTTCTATTTTGATTAATATTGTTATATACAATAAAGAGCAGTTTTGTTCGTATTAAAACTGAGATCCTAGTTTGCCAGTGAGGCATTATTCCCATCATTGCATATAAGTGATGACGTGATAGGTGTATTGTTGATCGAAACATTTATTGTAAAATTAACACCCATTTCATTTACTATTTTCCCATCAATTTTGAGAAATGGGAGACAGGTATAATGTTAGTGATTATTCAAGTTAGCTTACGATTTTAAGAGTCACATTTTAATTTGACGAGAATATTCTCGTCTAAGGGGGATGTTGCATTATCAATATATATTTAATTATAATTAAACGTAATAATTACATTTATCAACTAATTAGATTGTTAGATATGTGCCTATATAATATGTATATATATATATATATATTTGTGACGAGAAAAATATCGTAAAACGTCACATTATATGCAATTACGTAATATCTGTGTTTCAGCGATAAATCGCCCGTAATATTAGTAATAATCTGTCATATTTCGAATTTATTTACATGAGAAATTCTCATAATATATTTCATTACGTAATATAACTTTCTACTATCAATAGTTTATAATAATGTTACAATTAGAGATTATCGTTATGAGAATAATCTCGTAAAACCTCATTGTATATTCCATTACGTAATGTCCCCCTTTTCTGCATTAAATCGTTCATAATATCTATAATACTGTAGTTAGTGGACGGCTGTTGTTATTGTGACGAGAATATTCTCGTAAGAACCTCACATTGTATATTCCATTTAGTTCCCCATTTCTGCGATAAATCGCTTGTAATGTCGATATAGAGTTAAGTAAACAGTGAAAGTTGTATAGTAATACGCAAGTGCCCTAAGACCATAGTACCTTGTTTAATGCCATATTTAGTAACCGTAAATGAATTGTATATAAGCTGTTTAATTTATCAAACAAATGTATACAGGCATTGTTTATGTTAGACAACAAATTTTGTATATATATATCCCTTATTGGATTTCAATAATTAAAACACGATATCATTCTGTTGAATTATATCGTTTTGGGTGTATAATTCGTCCCGTTTGTATACAATTTTGTTAAATGTATATATATACAAGCAATAAATATATAGTGCCTGAACTCAAAAACGTATATAAGTTTACTTTTGGAATTATATTTAACTAAATATTTTGTAATAAATATATATAACTTAAGGTATTTACGCTTTGAAAATTATTCAAGGATATGGTATATAAAAAAATATTGCCATAAACAGTATTAAATTAGATCTAGTTTCAATACATAATCAAGCTTCCGTAGATTAATATAGATATTATATTCGTCTGACTTCGAAGTCATGTAAATGAATAGATACAAATTTGAAAGTTTGTAGTGTTTTTTTGTGGTATATTTCATAATAAACTGCTTCATACGTGTTAAAAATATAATAGTAATTTAATACTCTTTTATAATATAATGAATAGAAAATTAACGTAATCAGTTTTGTAAAATTATATATATATATATATGTATTTGATGAATAATAAAAATATTGTAGTGAATATCTCGCTTTATATACGTAATATATATAAGTAGGTATTATTAGGTTGTATGTATATATGTATATGTGGTATACATTGTCTGTATACAAAATAAACAGGGAGAAATATTTTAAACAGCTTGTATCACAAAAGATAATTGTGTACCTATATTTTAACGCCATTACGTCACCGCCAGCGTTTTATATAAATATATACAACATTTGCATAAATATATATGTATATATATTATATTGTATAACATATATTTTGTACCTTAGGCTAGGTTTAGACCAAATTAAACCCATCCATTTTTCCTCTATATTTATACATGTATTGCATGAGCTTTGATATAAAATTGGCATTTTATATACTGGATTTGAATTTGTATATTATATTTATATGCGATAATGTATGTACCGATAACTTAACAAAAAATAAAAAACCATTATTGTATTAATTATAGGCGCTTACAGTTAATGTTGTCGATGTTAGTCCACGTGGGGGTCGGCGGAAGTGACCCCCCCGCCATATTCCATCGCATCCGGTCGCTTTAACAAGGCATATGACAATTGTAATAGTTAGTGGTATCAATAAAATACCGTTATACAAATGTATTTGTGAGTTTCATTCAATTTTACCTAAAATAAACCAAATCCTTTTATATTTCGGCGCCTGGTTGATTGCGTGGTATGGTCTGACTGAGTCGTCTTCGCCAGCGAGGACGGTGTCGTGTCGTGACGGACCCGTAAGTAGGTTAATAAGAACGTGTCGAGGTTGTCATAATTTAAGGGAACAAAAACTATACGCGTATAGATATAGATATTGCGTTCGCCATAAGAACATGTCAATAAAAGTTTTTTTTTTCAACAAAATTTCATACAATAGTTTATTCTTCTTTTACAAAAAAATAAATAAATAAAATTGAACTGTCTGTTTGTAGTTTAAAATTAGCAGCTTTCAACTAAATACATATAAGTATGCATAACACAAGCTCTGCTAAACTTGGGAGTCGATGGCGCTGTGTAAATTGTCCGAGATTATCTTTTTTATTTTTTTTTTATTTTGATAATGCATCAACATGAATGTCTATTTGCTCAATGTTTGACTGGGAGAAAATATGTCAAGCTGTTAAGTCCGCTTTATGCACATTTATTTGTGTATTTGTGATTTATTTTAATTAATTAATAGAATATCCTGGACATTTCACACAGCGCCATTCAGTCCCAAGCTAAGTAGAGCTTGTATTATAGGTATTAGACAACTGATACAAATACTTGCATTTTTTTCTAAATACAATATATTATAGAAAACACTCAGACCGATACAAACAATCATACTCATGAATACAAATGTATGTACCATGCGAGGAATCGAACCCGCGATCATCGGAAGTGAAGCGTGCTAACACACTAAACCACCGAGTCCGTCAATATGATATTATAAGAATAGAGATTGAACTCTTCTCCGGTGTGATTCTAGAAGTTTAATATCAACTCAGATCATTGCGAACGCTGCAGCTGTGATAAGCAGTACTGCTGGAACTGTAATTGTGTTACTTCCATCTGGAATTAAGGGATGCCCCTTAATATACTGATGCAAGTCATTTAAAACAGCCCACTTTACTCTTTCCAGCTCTTCTGTCTCGCTATCTTTTGTTGATCTGTAAAGACAAGATAGATATAAATAATAATCTAAATATATATAACTCAAAGGTGACTGACATAGTGATCTATCAACGCACAGCCCAAACCACTAGACGGATCGGGCTGAAATTTGGCATGCAGGTAAATGTTATGACGTAGGCATGTGCTAAGAAAGGATTTTGATTAATTCTACCCCCAAGGGGATAAAATAGGGGATGAAAGTTTGTATGAAACCTTGTCAATTTTAAACCGATCGGGCTGAGACTCTGCATTCATAAAGTTACTATGACGTAAGCATCCCCTAAGAAAGGATTTTGATAAATTCCACCCCTAAGGGGGTAAATTAACGCGAGCGAAGCCGCGGGCAACAGCTAGTAATATATAAATTTACATAGTACAAGCCCGAAGAATTGCGACACTGAAGTGGCAAATAGGCAGGGCACATAACTCGTAGGACAGATGGCCGTTGGGGCAGTACAGTCCTCGAGTGGCGACCGCGGACCGGAAGACGCAGCGTGGGAAGGCCTCCAGCAAGGTGGACCAACGATCTGGTCAAGATCGCTGGAAGGCATTGGATGCGAGCAGCGCAGGACCGATCGTCGTGGAGATCTTTGGGGGAGGCCTATGTCCAGCAGTGGACGTCTTCCGGGCTGAGATGATGATGATGATGACATAGTATAAAATAAAGTCGCTTCTGCTATCTGTTCACTTAGATCTTTTAAACTGCGCAACGGATTTTAATGCAGTTTTCAGCAATAGATAGAGCGATACAAGCGGAAGGTTTATATGTATAACACATGTACACCCGTGCAAAGCCGGGGCGAGTAGCTAGTAAATTATAGACTAAGAACCATCTCGCGACTTTAGAAAAACGCACCAGAATCGGTCCGCTATCTCGACGTTACTTCACTTTCAAACAAAAAAAAAACTCATCACAAACGGTCTATTCGTTTAGAAGCTACGATGCCACAGACAGACACACTGAACCGTCAAACTTATATACACATTTTTACGTTGGGGTTTAAAAAACTATATAGTTGACTCACCTAATCGCTCTGCAATGTGATACTCCAGGCACGACGTATACTGACGCTTTGGGGGTCGCATGACCCGCGTTGGGGCCCATCGGTGACCACGGGTCGTGACCCCCCATGACCGTCACTGAGTAGTCCGGCAGATGAGTGAGACCCGCGAACAAGTTGTTAGTCCTCCTGATACCTCTCCTCAATAGCAAGTAATCGAAACTGCAAAGAATATTTGCGTTTTTTAAGGGATGCTAATGGAATGGTGCACCCACCTGCGCTGACGGTTTACGCTGGCGGGGTACCAGTTGAGGATGATAAGATGAGCATGAGGTCAGGTCAGTTAGCTCATCGTTACAAATTTACCAAGAATTTATCACGGTTTCCAGGAACAACCGCGTGGAGGTCAACTTGATATGGTATATTGCTAGCAATAAGATATTAATCCACATTACGAACAATCGTCTTTCCCCTGTTTATTGATATTTAAAAACATAATAACTAAATATATAGATATTTGTTATCTATATATATAAATAAAATTGGAGTGTCTGTTTGTAATACTGAAATAACCGTTTTTTACTACACGCATATGAATATATACGATACATATGTATACCAAAATCATATTTTTTACAATTTTTGTCTGTCTGTCTGTCTGCCTGTTTGTTCCGGCTTAATTACCGGTAGTAATTTAGTAATAGGTATTATTAGATAATTAAAAATTACATTAGTTGTTACAATTCTAAAAACAACAATATTAAATTATTTTGCTCACGCCTGACCGCATTTATTGACGCATTGACCAAGTCATTCAAACAGTTTCCTGTAATTTTGATGTTTACTACATGAAAACTGTTAAAATGGTTATATATTAATAGTTAATACACATTTGAAATGTTTATCATATTTATAACAATAATAATAAACATGTTTGTTATTGCATATATATGCTATTTGTTAGGAATTGTTGTTTCTAATTTAATTACAGTTATATATCCAGTTAGTAAAGTTATCTAGAAATATAGTTACAGTGGTTACAAATCGTTAAACCTTTGCCTAACAAGTACACTTTTGCATTTATAATCTATACATATAAAATTGGAGTATCTGTTTGTAATATTAAAATAACACTACATGCATACGGTACATATACCAAATTAACATTTTGTTACAATTTTTGTCTGTCTGTCGGTCTGTTTGTTCCGGTTAATCTCTGAAATGGCTGGACCGATTTTGATGGGACTTTTTTTGGCAGGTAGCTGATGTAATAAGGAGTAACTTAGGCTACTTTTATTTTAGAAAAATAAAGTTAAATTCCACGCGGACAAAGTCGCGGGGAACTATATTAGTGTATTATATTAATATGTCATAATACAGACGTTATTAATGCATTTAACTGGAAACATCCTAAAATAATTTTACTAGAATTGAAAACCACAAACCAATTGTACGTAATTGAAGAGTTAAAGATTTATTTCAAATCAATATTATGCAAATAAAGTACAGAAGGAACGACACGTAATTCTCCATTAATTAATATTTTAACACCTCAATTGTATTTTATTCAATTCTAGGTACGTTCCCTAGAATGTACCTAGAATTACATTCCCTACTCTTAATAATTAAATGTATTAATTCAAAATCGACATTAATCCCTTTAAGTTTAAGTAGTTTTTCCATTGGTGCATTTATGCATTAACCGTACAAAGCTGGAGCGGATTTATAATATAACTAGTTGTACGCACGACTTCGTCCGCGTGGAACTTTGCTACATTACTTTTTTTTTTCTAAAATAAAAGTAGCCTAAGTTACTCCTTATTATATCAGCTACCTGCCAATAAAAGTACCGTCAAAATTGGTCCAGCCATTTCAGAGATTAGCCGGAACGAACAGACAGACAGACAAAAAGTTTAAAAAATGTTATTTTGGTGTATGTACTGTATTTATATTCATATGCATGTAGTAAAAAACGGTTATTTCAATATTACACACAGACACTCCAATTTTATTTATATGTATAGATAATCTTAGGACAATTCACACAGCGCCATCTAGACCCAAGTTAAGATAGCTAAAGCTTGTGTTATGGGTACTAGATAACAGATACAAATATATAGACTTTTTTTGTAAATACATACATCATATATAGGAAACACCCAGACCGATACAAACAATCATACTCATGAACACAAATGTTTGTATCGTGCGACATATTCTGAGTAAAACTGAAAACCACGTTGTAAAAAAGTGCCTTTTCATAGCTACAATCTGGTTGACTAATGTCCATAGAGACATGAAGGAGTTGGGCCTGTCAAACTACGATGCTTACCAACGAAAAGTCTGGCGTATCAACATTGGGAAAACCAACTACCCGTAACGGGAAGAGGCGAGGAGGAAGAAGTGCGAGGAATTGAACCTGCGACATCTGAAGCAAGGCTGTGTGCTAAACCGCTAGACCACCGAGGCCGTCACCGTCGCCGTAGTGCTAGTATATACTCACTCAACAGAGAAGAAATCCTTGCACATCTGATGGAAGTACTCCAGTGGTACCGTGGACAGGAACGGTTGGAACTCACTGGAGGTGGTCTGGTACCATCCGTACTCCACGCAGGTCTGGTAGGTCCACAGACGCACTGGAATAATACAATAATATAATCACAACCTAGAACAATTTGCACAGCGCCATCTAGTCCCAAGCTAAGCAGAGTTTTAGTTATGGGTACTAGACGTCTGAGAAGTACGTAAATATTGTTTTTTTTTTCTATAAACATACAGAATACTTAAAAAATACTGACAGCAATATATCGTAATAATTTAATAATGGTGTTGGTCAACAAATGTTTGCACCATGCGAATCGAACCTGCGATAAACCTACGATAATAAGTAAAGCAATGTGCTACACCGAAAGCTAAAGCAATAATATTTTTATTATTGAAACAGTTGGACCGATTTTGACGGGACTTTCATTTGCAGATAATGTTATAAGTATAACTTAGGCTACTTTTATTTTAGCCAACAGAAGTCCCGGGTAGTTCATTTATCTAACATAATAAATCATAACACACTATAACATCTAATCATATATATATATATATAGTCATATATAACATATATATGAATTACTACAGACTCTGCGTCATCATGGGACGCCCATTCAAGCGATGCAATTCCGAAGGACTAAAGTGCTCTGTAATTTTGCGTACACTGTAATTTAACTGCCATATCTATCAATGTAATCTGTTCAATCGAAACAGATTACAAAGCTAGCTGCATGGCGTGAAATTGGTGTGTCAGACGTATCCTCACGACAACGAGGTGACAAAGACTGGGTAGTCATCATCCATCCATCATCATCATCATAGTAAAGTGTCCATTAATCTGGTGAAGATTGAAAGTGGTGATATCACAAGGTGGTATGGGGTTCGGTAAAAATTAAGAAATAAATAATTAAGGAAATAATATATCTCAGTAAATAATATCGGACGACCTCGGTGGTCTAGCGATAAAGCACACCGCTTTACGACCGATGGTCGCGGGTTCGATTCCTCGCACGGCACAAACATTTGTATTCATGAGTATGATTGTTTGTATCGGTCTGGGTGTTTTCTATATATAATATGTATGTATTTACAAAAAAAAATCTATGTATTTGTATCAGTTATCTAGTACCCATAACACAAGCTCTAGCTAGCTTAACTTGGGTCTAGATGGCTCTGTGTGAATTGTCCTGAGATTATTATTATTATTAATATAATCTCAGTAAAGGGGCAGTTGATTAATCACTTAATCACGTGAGGCTCGAGAGGGGGGGGAGAATTCGGCAAATATCATAAGGGAGGAGAGATGTGTAGTGTGACCTTAAGAGACGTGTAGTGTGACCTTAACTTTTTTAAATAAGCCTAAGTAGTTATTATTAAAAAAAAATGTAAAATGGACACACTACCTATACAATACTATAGCCGGTATGTTAGAGCATTTTAATAAAACTATGGCTGATTTCAAGAGTCAGTTGGAGAAGGCAAGTTGGAGAAGAAACACGCCCACTACTATACCCTCACTGGAGTCAGACTTCGCCACATTACGGAGTTTCACTACCACAGCACTCACAAATCTTCAGAAACAATTCCAGATCAGATGGAGGAGTTTAATTGGAGTTTATGCGGTAAACTGTAATTCATCTGCATATGCAGAAACTCATCTGCGTGTGTGAGTACCTCGGTCTCACCTATTTCAGCATAGAGCAGCTTGCTTTCTAAGCTGTTTCGGTTGTAGAGTGCAGATTAGACAATGAAATTACAGGATCAAAGATAGGACTTCTTAGTCCTCTGGAATTGCAATGCTAAGTATCAAAGGTGTCACATGATAACGTGATGTCGTGGTAAGCGAACGCGTACCATCACGTGGGCCCTGTTTGTTTGCCAATCCAATTATATATTAGTTTTAATAATAATATTAAAAACGCGAAAGTTTGTAAATATGTAAAACTGTAAAATTTCATCAATATCATACTTTTACACATACATATAGCTTAGGCATCAAAATAACACATACGCTATATTTTTTATTGAAATTTAACACGAGTGAAACCGCGGGCACAGCTAGTAAATAATATTAATAACAAATATCATTATTACTCCAAATGATATTATAATCCTACAGATATATTTAATGACTTTATTTTCGTATAGTCTCTAGATATTTTTTATAACTTTGATAAATGTATAAAATGTCGTTTGATATTTAATCGCATTAAGATAATAATAAGTAGCTTATTAGGCTCTAACTATACTGGTTTGATAACGTTTTGATTTTTAGAGGCTATGGTATTAACACATATCGTTATAAAAATATATTAGACTAGCTTTTGCTCGCGGCTTCGCTCGCGTTGTTTTATTCCTTTAGGGGTGGAATTTATCAAAATCCTTTCTTAGCGGATGCCTACGTCATAGTAGCATGCATTCAAAGTGTCAGTAGGTTTAAAATTGACAAAGTTTCATACAAATATTCCTCCCCTTGGGGGTGGAATTTATCAAAATCCTTTCTTAGCGGATGCCTACGTCATGACATGTACCTGCATGCCAAATTTTAGCCCGATCCGTCCAGTGGTTTGGGCTGTGCGTTGATAAAACACTATGTCAGTCACCTTTGAGTTACATATATATAAGTGTATAATAGTTATAAATATATATATAGGTAATAGAAAAAATAAGTAATAAAATCGAATCGGTTTAGGAATTTCACCTTTTTTTTATACTACGATGGTAACATAACAAGCATATGGCTTATCTGATGGTAATTGGTTACCGTAGTCTATGGACGCCTGAGACACTAAATGTGTCACTTAAATATACCCACCTTGAAAAACCCCATGCTGTAGTCTCTCAAACAAGAAAACGTAGAATCATAGAAGCCTCATTAATATATATAATTAGTAAAAATCACGGAATCTTACCACGTTTTATTTTTGTGGAGTTCCCGATATTTAGGCAGTGTTTCAACCGCCATGATCACTGATAAACTGAAGAAATGCGAGTAGATTGTAAATAAACTCTCTTAAGGGCACACATATTCGTCTACCTTCACAAGTATTCGTTTGTTGCCACAATTGAAAATGTTTATCAAGAACTGAATAAAAATAAAACGTGGTAATATTCCGTGATTTTTACTTAATAATTATAAGTATAAATAATGATTGCGTCAAATTTAAAACAGTACACATTATATTACTCGAGCAGCGCCGCAGTATTATGTTAGTTAGCGAATATTATTAAACTCTTATATGGTCACGTGTATAATCTCTCGTCTGCGGTGCAGATCTGGGCAGTAATCTCTGTTCATGACAATTAGCATGCAATCTACATTGCAGATGCACACTGCATCTTATAACAATAGGCTTATTCACAGTCGGCTTAAGTACTAGATTTGGGATTTATAGTTCGCGACTCGGAATGTTAAATATAGTTCGCCGCTCTTTTGCCAACTAGTTCATTCGCTCCAAACGAATTAGAGAAAGGCAGAAGGCTGGCTAATCTATAAGTGTTATTGTTTTGTTAGTTCGGAAATGCTAATGATATTGTTTTTTTAGGTTTGTACTGTTGTATTAGATTTCAAATCTGTTTTTAATTATCAGCAAGACTATACTATCGAATTCCTTCTAAATAAAGAGCACATTCAGAGTAGCAAAGCAGAAATAACGCGACTTTGAGTTCTATATAGAGTTCGTTGCTGTTCTGCGAATCGGTCAAATCTAAAATTTCGCTATAGGCCTATAAGTGTTATTATTTTTTTAGGCCGCAAATGTTAATGAATTCGTTTTGTTTAGGCTTCGATTGTATTCAATGCTATCATGTTTTGTTTTTTTTAAAGATCACATTTAATTAAATCCTATAAATATTCTATTAAAGAAATAAACGATGATCGATTATCGATTATATATTAGTATACTCACGAAGTTAAAAGCGAAATGTCTGCGAACTATTCGACGTATTTCGTATAACGTATTACGAACGTTATTACGAACTAATTCGCTATCAAACGACACATCACTATGTTCTCGTGCTCTAATGCGACGCTACTGACTTCCATTTGAATTTAATTTCGTGATACCATTTTACGTATTTAGTAATTTAAATTGCTGTTTTTTTACCAAATCTAACCGAGGTAGATTTTTTTTCGGACTACTCTAATGCTGTTGACCACAGCTGGCCTTTACAGCTTCACCGGACGATAGGGGGCGAGTGCAGATGGCACTCCAAACCAAAGGAAGGACTTATGGAGCGGCTGAAAGCCAAATTCCGCATTAATTATATATTTACTATTTTGTCTCTAATAAATTAGTGTTAGTTGGTAGTTTGTATTCACACATTTTAACATAAAAATGTAAAGTTACAAGTAAATTATTTAAAAGAGCAACACACAATTTTCTTGTTTGCTCTTCTTGTGATGATACTGCTTTCCGAATGAGCGGTAGATTAAAATAAATAGGACGACTATTAAAAAGTGATTAAATGTAAATTTATTTAAATAAAAAAAATTCTTTTCTATTTTTTCCTCCAGTTCTATTTCACGACATTTAAAAGTACATTCAGCCGTTTAGTCGTGACAAACAAACGGATCGCATTTATAATACACTAGCTACTCACCCGGCTTAGGACGGGTGTACATGTATTATATATATAAACCTTACTCTTTAATCACTATCTATTAAAAAAACTGTTTCAAATTTCAAAATCCGTTGCGTAGTTTTAAAGATGTAAGCATAAATAGGGACAGACCGCGACTTTGTTTTATACTATATAACTAGCTACTCGCCCCGGCTTCGCACTGGTGCACATATATTATATATATAAACCTTCCTCTTGAATCACTGTATCTATTAACAAAAACCGCTTCAAAATCCGTAACGTAGTTTTAAAGATTTAAGCATACATAGGGACGGACAGCGACAGCGATTTTGTTTTATACTATGTAATGAAATGTATAGATAAGTATAGTATATATATTTAGTAACAGGTTGATAAAATATTGTAATATATTCCTTTTGAGATAATATTAAAATGTGAAGTAAATAATTTGTAATGCAAAATATAGGGAGTTGTAGAGCTGGGAACAGTTTTCGCAATTTCAAAATAATGGACGGACGCGAGGTATCCCATTGTGTTCAACATTAATAAATCATTCAGCGACGTGAATTGAAATGTTGTAAACGCGAAATAAAGAAGGGATCACAAGATATAAACTTTGTGATTCTTATGGAAATTATATGGAATGGTTTTGGTCTATGGTGCTTGATAATGTAACAACTTTGTAACTGTATATTCTTGTATTATTGTATGCTGTACCCGTAACTTCGTCCGCGTGGAATTTTTTTTTATTTTTCTAAAATAAAAGTTGCCTAAGTTATTCCTTATTACATCAGCTACCTGCCAATAAAAGTCCCGTCAAAATCGGTCCAGCCATTTCAGAGATTAGTCGGAACAAACAGGCAGACAGACAGACAAAAATTGTAAAAAATGTTATTTTGGTGTATGTACGGTACTTATATTCATATGCGTGTAGTAAAAAACGGTTATTTCAATATTACAAACAGACACTCCAATTTTAATTATATGTATAGATTTATTTTATTTGTAGAAAAATAATTATCTCAGGACAATTCACACAGTGCCATTTAGTTAAGCTACCTAAAGACTGTGTTATGAGTACTAGATAACTGATACAAAGACATAGATAATTTTTTTCGTAAATACATACATATTATACGTAGAAAACATTCAAACCGATACAAACAATCTGACTCATGAATACAAATGTTTGTGAATGCGAGTAATCGAACCCGCGACCATCGGAAGTAAAGCGGTGTGCTAAACCGCTAGACCATGAGGCTGAAAATATGATATAATGGTGACATACCAGCGCTTGTTAAGAAATCATTGAAAAGAACAGACACTAGTTAAATCATGTTGCTTCCACCACATTTCGACAATTAAATAGAAAAATGACATTTTTCAAAATTAGAAGCTCAAATTGCCTCCTTATATATAAGTCAATTAAATTAATTACGCAGTCTTAATCATTATTTAAATACTTTTAAAATGATATACAATACTTCTGTGTAAATTAAACATTAAAGGAACAAATAATTTAAATAAATTTAAAAACTTTTGAATCCGTATCGGCAAAATTTTTTAAATGCACAAAGATTTTTTGGCTCCGAATATATTTAAAAATCATTTACTTGTGTGTTGATGAATTTATATACTAAATGCCTACAAGACAAGACAAAAATGTACATTTTGAATACTGCAATTTTTCTATTTAACCGACGTTTTTCAATCGGTAGCTCATACATACTAACAATAGTAAGATAAATCGGCAACATATTTTTGCTTGACCGCAGAATTGAACCGTAATACTAATGACACATACGTAGAAACAATTGAAATATAGTTAATCGGGTATGAATACAATGAAGGTACAAAAGGCGTTATGACATAATTAGGTCACTTTATCATTACATATTATAAAACAAAATCACCGTCGCTGTCTGTCCGTCCCTATGTAGGCTTGAATCTTTAAAACTACGTAACGGATTTTGTAATAGAGTGTCTGTAGTGAATTTTGTAGTCGAGTAGTTTTTTTTAATAGAGTGATTCAAGAGGAAGGTTGGGTTTCAAAATTGGTTTTGGAGATTAGCAAGAGTAAACAGACAGACAAAAGAATTATAAATTATATTTTTTAATTAAGTACTGTATATACATTGTATAAGTACTACATATGTATTTATTGAAAATCTGTTAATTTGGAATTACAACCAGACAATTTTATTTATAAATACACTTGCTTTTTCAAATACACTTGCTTTTGCCCGCGGTTTCATCCGCGTGAAATTTATAGCCTATATGTTATTCGGATTTATAAGCTTATATTACTGTAAAGTTTCATCAAAATCCGTTCAGTAGTTTTTGCGTGAAAGAGTAACAAACATCCATCCACACTCACAAACTTTCGCGTTTATAATATTAATAATAAGATATGTGAGTGAGATAACAAAAATTATTTCAACTTACTAACGGAGTTCGGTGAATCGTAGTCAGTGTTAGTGTGGGCGGCGACCACCTCAGAGTATCTGGATTCGATGCACGGCTGAGCCCAGCTTTGAGATGTAATCCAATTAGCAAGCCGTTGCACAGGATCCGCTGTCCATAGATGGAAATCGTGTTAGGTTACGTTCATGCAATTCAGTTTGGAATATGTGCCAATATCTGTATATTTCTGACTGACTCTTCATAGATGGTAACACCGATAACAAACTAAACTAAATAGAGTTACTTTTACGCGAATTTTTCGTTAATTCGTTTGTAATATTTATTTATAAGTATAATAATATACTTATTTATATATTTTTTTGTTTGCACCAGTTATTACCCACTCAGTACCACATATCCCACTGTTTTCGGTTGACTGGAAGAGATCTCTTCTAGGAATAAGTCCACCTTTGCTCACATTGTCTCTAAATTATAATGTCTTTGTATTATCTGTGCAACAAAGAATATTTCAATAATAATAATATTTCAGGACAATTCACACAAAACCTCAAAATCTAGTCCTAAGCTAAGCAGAGCTCTTGTTATGGGTACTAGATAACTAATATACATATATATACATTTTTTTTGTAAATACTAAATATATATAGAAAACAACCAGACCGATACAAACAATCATACTCATGAGTACAAATCATACTCATGAAGACAGCCTCGGTGGTCTAGTGGTTTAGCACACCGCTTTACTATCCGATGGTCGTGGGTTCGATTCCTCGCACGGTACAAACATTTATATTCATGAGTATGTCTGTTTGTATCGGTCTGGGTGTTTTCTATGTATAATATGTATATATTTACAAAAAAAAATTTATCCATGTATTTATAACAGTTGTCTAGTACCCATAACACAAGCTCTGTTTAGCTTGGGACTAGATGGCGCTGTGTGAATTCATGCGAGGAATCGAACCCGCGACCGTCGGATCTGAACCGGTGTGCTAAACCGCTGGACCACCGAGGTCGTAATTGTTTTGATAGTATCGTATAGGAGTATATCTTTATGTATACTTATTTCCTATGGAAACCAACAATCCTGGTGAGCTATATAAGACTACTAATGACAAAAAATACATACAAACATCAGGGTCAGTTAAGACATCGCAAGCGGTAGGTATATCCCCTGGAGTGGCGTACTGGACCAGGTAGGCGAAGGCCTCCGTGATGCCCCACCAGAAGAAGGTCGGCTTGTCCAGAGGGGATGATATGTTGAAGGGTGCGCAGGTGCTGTAAAAACATATTTGTTATATAATAAAGATGAAAGAATCTTTTTGTTTGATTTTTTATATTGAATAGGCTCCGAAACTGCTGGACGGATTTTGTAAAAATCTTTTACCAAAAACACAAGGTGTAAATAAAATACCAAAAAATCTTAAATCGCATACGCTACAGAAATTATAGACAATAGAGCAAAGTGATGAACTAAAGTCTTATAGAGTACATCAATATCTACAAAAAAAATCTTGAATACCATGTCTATGGCGATCTAGGTAGCTTATATTTACCTTTAGGGAAACAAAATTTAGTTTAATTGACTCTATTATCATAATATCGTCGTATAGTTAATTCCCTCTTAACGCTATTCATAGAAAAGCAGGTTAGCCAACCTCCAGAGTCCTAGAACTATTATTTTATGTTTGTTTTTTTTCGGTGAAATATGGTTTCGCTTGATTACCTCCTCCTGTTATTATGGTCCGTAAATGTTATTTTGGAAGCAGGGAAGTTTAGTAACGGCCAATAGTGGACTTATTTCTAGTAATGTACATTGATTGATAAGTCGACATTCGGAACCTGGTCTCGAAATGTTCCTGGTGAATTACAATAAATAGTAGTACATTAAAAAGGCAAGGAAACTTTACTTAAACAGTGTCGAAACTCTGTCCGCTCCATCTTCTGTGTCGAGGAGAGCTACCACTTGCTCCACAGCATCAGCAATGCTGGAGACACATTCCTCGCTGCCCTGATGAAGCAAGGCTTCTGTTACTACCTCCAAATATTCTGGAAATTGTGAATTAAGTTTTTTCCATGTAAATAGAATGGCAAACAAGCTGATGGCAAGCTGGCGTTAATTGTCTAGGATTGTTATCCGCCTAGATCTATGTATGTATGTGTATTATTATTTTATTATATCTATGAAGGTATCTGCAGAATACCAGCGTCGTGGCACCCCGTCACGACATACAAACCTATATATTGTATCTTAAAATTTAAAAAATATTTTTAGTATTGCTATGTACCAAATTAACAATTTTCTTTTATTATTATTATATTCAAACTAGCTGTCCTGGCAAACGTGACATCCCTGGTGTTTCAGGCGTCCATAGGCTACGGTAACCTTTTACCATCAGATGGGCCGTATGCTTGTTGCCAACATAGTAGTATAAAAAAAATGGACCATCAGTAGTAGCCTGAAATTAATAAATCTTTTACCGTGAAAATTCTCTTGAGCATGTAAAGGTCCACTGTCAGAGAAGACAGCATCAACCAGATGAGGGTAGCCCAGTCTCATCCATGTGGCCATGCTGCCCGCGTACGAACATCCCACCAGTACCACTTTGCTGTACCTGTAATTAATATTCTAATTAATTATTTACAATCTATATCCATTATAGTACAGCCAGAAGCATTAATATCTGAACCTTTGTTAGGCTGTGGTAACATATTACACATAACATACATACGTACAGTTTGTTTTAAACCAGAGGGGACAAACGAGCATGCGGCTCACCTGATGGTGAGTGATTACCGCCGCCCATGAGCACCCGCAACACCAGGGGAATTGCAAGTACATTGTCGGCCTTTCAAAAAGGAATAAACTCTTTTCTTGAAGGTTTCAATATATACATACTACAAACATACATACATATATATCCTTTATATATAGACAACATAGACATATACATATCTAAATGTATGTATATGTTTGATAATGTTATATGTAATATGTAGCCACAAGGCATTTTGTCGATGACATTATTGACAAGTATAAATAATTAACTGTAATGTTAACTTACCTACTAATTTAGACGGCCCCGGTGGTCTAGCGGTTTAGTACACCGCTTACTTCCGATGGTCGCGGGTTCGATTCACGACAATCATACTCATTAATACAAACATTTGCATTATGCGAGGCATCGATCCCACGACCATCAAATTCAAAATAATTACTTTTACGTAGGACCTTTCATTCTTTCATTCTTTTAACAGTTAAGAAGAACTGGCAAGAAACTCAATATATACAATTTTTGCTATTATTCTATCTCTATTACTACTCACTAAACGATTACTTGAATGACAAGCGTGCATAGAAATAGTTGTTCATGCACGAGATTTTCATTTAGATTCTTGCCAGTTCTTCTCAATTGAATCTGTATACTGAAATGGACGGTAGGGAAAATATTACTACAAAAAATCTACATGTAGATAGATCTAAGCGGGTAAACTGTCCCAAATGAATACATTATTTTTGATTTTATTTGATTTGATTTTCAGTCGGTTTCATTTTGCTTGTGGTGTATAGGTACCACACTTACGGGCCGAAACCAAGTAAGTGCATTGTCTATTGTATTATGAGACTTAATTTATGTGATAGGTGTTATCATCTACTTCCTGGAATTTATGCAATGTTCATGTAATTCCAGGTATTTATGCAATTTTCATCTACTTCCAGGAATTTATACAATTTTTATCTAATTCTATAATAATTTACACTTTACTCCAGGAATTTATTATTATTATTAATCCTATTGTATTCATAAATTATTACTTCATTCGTAAATTCTGACGTTGTCAACAAGAAACATTGGTTAATTGATAATAGGGTCAATGAACTCTGCAATTACATTGCATTTTAAAGCATCTACACACGGTCCTAAAAGTGATTACGATTTTAATAATAATAATAATAATATATCTGAGCAATTAACACAGCGCTATCTAAACCCAGGAAAAGAAGAACTTGTGTTATAGATACTAGACAACTGTTATACATACATAATATACATAGAAAACACCCAGACCAATACAAACAATCATACTAATGAATACAAATGTTTGTTTCGTGTGAGGAATTGAAACCGCGATCATAGGAAGAAACGCAGTGTACTAAACCGCTAGGCCAACGAGTAGCTCCTATGTTGCCCTTACAGAGGACTACAATGTCATGTCTTAACCTGTAATTTCACTGCTTTATCTCAAAATAATAGATAATAAGAACTGTTAGTAATATGGACTAATAACCCAATTGCTAGCAAATGTACCATATCAGGTTGACCTCCACGCGGTTCCATGGAATGGAAAGGAATTATCATTTCCTTTGTCACTGTAGGGAATGAGCACTGCCTATTCTAAAGTACAGGATCTTTATACGTGTAATTAGTAAAAATCACGATATTACCAAGTTTCATATTTATTTACTGAGTTCCTGATATTTCGGCAGTGTTTCAACCGCCATGATCACGGGTAAACTGATCAGTTTACCAGTGCTATCCAAGGTATCCACTATACACCCAATAGTGACCTTGGATAGCATAAAATATTTAAAAATCTTATCCAAAAAAGTAAAAAAAAAAGTTTTAGTGTTCTAGCTTCAAAAACGACTAACCTCCATACAAACTTTCATCGCTAGCTTTCCAGTTTCAAAGTAGGTTTAACACAGTTCTAATTTATTTTAATTCACAACAAAATGCGCGCGCGTCATGGCCGCCGTACGGTCAGTTCAGTACTAGGTAAGGGAGGGGAAGGAAAAGCACGGGAACAGAAACTAACGGACTCTAATATAATAATCTGTGCTTACGATGGTACAGGGTAGATTTTGAACAATCCCCTATTTTATTTTACCATATTAAGGGTAAAATTTTTACAAACCTCGAAAGGCATAATATAATCAATAGCCAATAAATTAACTTTCAAGCTTCTATCATTAAAAATGACGATACTTCCACACATTTCATCTCCTTTACACTCTTTACAACTCCTGTTTCGCATTAAAAAGTAGCCTATATCTTTTCTCAGAGTCTACTTTATTACTATGTTCGTATGTAAACGGAAAACTAAGTCAGTTTTTCGAATAAAATAAATAAATAAACTTGTCTACACACGAATAAACTTGTCTGTTTTGCACTCCAAAACACACCTGCATCCTCGCCGATTTGTGGCCCGTGTGTAGACCTTTAAATTGCATATTTACTAATATTATATGGTTATTGAGAATGCTACTGTTTTTTCACGTTATTCATTAGTTTTTATCAACGCTGAGTCATTTCATTCATAACGGTCATACCAGTCACCTTGATGACCAGATGACTAACCGACCGACGGAACTATAGTTACTTCCAATTTACTCAAGTACATTAACTACAGAGTCTCGCAACCTGTGCGTTGTGTCAATTTTATAAATGAATGTTCAACCAACTTCATAAAAAGAAGGTTGATCGATTCGATTTAACGTTTTTTTGTGTGTATGCTAAATAATACAATAAATTTGTATGTACACTAGCTATCCCGTCAAACGTTGTTTTGCCATTTAAATTAATAATAATAATATAACAAGACGACCTCGGTGGTATAGCACACTGCTTTACGACCGATGGTCGCGGGTTCGATTCCTCGCACGGCACAAACAATTCTATTCATGAGTTGATTGTTTGTATCGGTCTGGGTGTTTTCTATGTATAATATGTATGTATTTACAAAAAAAAAAATATCTATGTATATGTATCAGTTATCTAGTACCCATAACACAAGCTTTAGCTAGCTTAAGTTGTGCCTAGATGGCGCTGTGTGAATTGTCCTGAGATTATTATTATTATTATTAACAATATGAAGACAATTCACACAGCGCCATCTAGCCCAAGTTAGCTAAGGCTTGTGTTATGGGTACTAGATAACTGATACAAATACATAGATTTTTTTCGTAAATACATATATATTATACATAGAAAACACTCAGACCGATACAAACAATCATACTCATGAATACAAATATTTGCACCGTGCAAGGTATCGAACCCGGAACCATCGGAAGTAAAGCAATGTGCTAGAGTCCCCCACTCTCAAACTATTAGATAGATGGATAAAACAATAGGATCTCGTGATCTATTCTGTTTGTATCGGTCTGGGTGTTTTCTATATATAATATATATGTATTTACGAAAAAAATCTATGTATTTGTATCAGTTATCTGTTATCCCATAATACAAGCCTTATAGCTAACTCAACTTAAGGGATTGTTAGTAATGTTGACTAATAACCCCATTGCTATGCCATAATGTACCATGTCAGTTTGACCTTATGTTAAATTCCTTATACTGAATTTGTCAGGATGGGCTAACTGATCTGACCTGATGCTCATGTTATCATCTTCCACTGGTGCCCCGCCAGCGTAAACCGTCAGCGCAGGCGGATGCACCATTCCATTATCATCCATAAAAAAAAATAGTTTGAGAGTGGGGGAAAGGGGGTTGTTAATAATGTTGAGTAATAATCCCATTGTTATTTATATTATGTATAAGACCACCAAGGCATAAAAGGCAAAAAAGGTATACTCATATATTAAATCACAGACAAACATACACAAAAAAGAAAGTGATACAGTGTATATTCATTTACTCACGTGTATTTCCCTTTGTGAAATTCATAACTCTTGACGTATTGAATGAACTGTGCCAGATCTGCTAAAGCTTGATCTACATTCAGGTATCGTAGGTCAGGGACGGTAGTATTTCTGAAAAGAAAAATATTAGTATAGTAGAATTTCATGGTAGAATAACCGTGTGCAAAGTGAAGTTATTTTTACTAATTTCAAATAAGATGTATATATATTTGATGTTAAATATATATAACTCAAAGGTGACTGACAGACATAGTGATCTATCAACGCACTGCAAACCACTGAACGGATCGGGCTGAAATTTCGTATGCAGGTAGATGTTATAACGTACGCATCCACTAAGAAAGGATTTAGATTAATTCTACCACCAAGAGGATAAAATAGGGGATGAAAGTTTGAATGAAACTTTGTCAATTTTAAAGCTACTATGACGACGTAGGCATCCCCTAAAAAAGGATTTTGATAAATTCCACCCCTAAGGGGATAAATTAACGTAAGCGAAGCAGCGGGCAAAAGCTAGTAGTAAATAAGAATATTGCTGTAATGATAAATAAATGTATTTATTATTATTATTCTTATTAAATAATTTTAATTAACTGGTACACACACACAACACACACAGTGAACTGATACAATGAAACACAAAACAAAAACAAAATACCTACTTAAACACAATTATAAAGAAAAAAAATTGGAAAAAATACTTTTTGTTTCTAGTGTTTTAAAGTTATGTGTGCGTGTGTGCGCGGGTGTGTGTGTGTGTGTGTGTGTCAAAGCATCTACCGAATAGGTCCGTGCTCAGCATGATGGTCCAGCGGCTGTGTCGCTGCAGCGCTGTTTTTCAGCACAAGACCAAGGGTGGTATGTTAATAATAAATTTAAATAATAGAGGCTTCGCACCACTGCTAAGATATCGCCACCAAATTTAAGTCCGTGTATACATGCTTGTGGGGGCTTGAGCCCGCAGTTCTATGATAATAATATTAGTTGATATATTGATCGATTGATTGATGAATGGTTTTTGCTAAATAAAACCGCCTTGGTTGAATGCTTTTTTTTATATATTTATTTTCGGAAAACCAATGATTTTAGTTATAAACATAATTAAATGAGAACGGCCACTTATATTTTCACGGATAGAAACGTTATAAAATAAATTACAGTACTAACACGAGAGGCGTGTTTGCGTCATAAATACTCATAAAATCATATATCAAAAAATAACAATCTGTTAAAACATTATGCTGAAACTAACAAACAAACATATTTGAATAATGGAAATGCATGTAAGTAACATTAAATTCGATACTTATAACTCAAAGAATTGCCTGCTCATCACGGCCCTTAAAGATATTCTATAATAAATCAATATATAATACCCTACTTAATCTAAAACATTACTTGCTCGCATATAACTGTTTTGCCTATAGTTAGATGATACAGAAGGTATAGAAATAGAAGCTGGTACGTTTAGTGGTACATTAAAATTAAATTTTGAAAGTAACTCTATGATACAGTCTATGACACCGGAGGCAACTTTAATTAAGTAAATGATATCAGCAATTTCACGGCGTTTCTCAAGGGTAAGTAAATGGTTTTTTTACACATACTAATATAATGTATATATTGGTAAAAGAAACGTAATGAGGTGAAATTGCATATGTCAGCAATTGTGTATTGCACAGGAAGCAGGCATGTGCGGTGCAGGTGCACAATGCTTTACAAACAATATTTACTATAATAATAATATTCCTGGACAATTAAAACAGCACCATCTAGTCCCATAGATACACATAGATATTTTTTTGTAGTACCACTATACATAGAAATAAAATTGGAATGTCTGTTTGTAATATTGAAATAACCGTTTTTTACTACATGCATAAAAATATAAATACGATACATACACCAAAAAAACATTTTTTACAATTTTTGTCTATCTTTCTGTCTGTTTGTTACGGCTAATCTCTGAAATCGCTGGACCGATTTTGACGAGACATTTTGTGGTAGGTAGCCTATGTAATGAGGTGTAACTTATAGGTACTTTTATTTTAGAAAAATAAAGTTAAATTTCACGCGAAGGAAGTCGCGTGTAAGTACTAGTCGTACACGCAACTTCGTCCTCGTATATAATATACATAGAATATACACAGATTAATATAAATAAAACAAATCATACTAATGAATACACCCCTCCGATCGATCCCCCGTCCAATTCAAACGGGCCGAGGTTCGAACCACTAGTGGTGCCCTCAGACTAAAGTCGTATTCGTCAGGCAGGAGTTGGCCTTCAGCCGCTCCATAAGTCCTTCCGCGGGTTTAGAGTGCCATCTGCACTCGCCCCCTAACGTCCGGTGAAGCTGTAAAGGCCAGCTGCGGCCAACAGGATTAGAGTAGTCCGAAAAAAAAATGTTTATACCGTGGGAGGAAAACAACCCGCGACCATCGGAAGTGAAGTGGCATGCTAAACCACTAGACCACAGAGTCGTCATATACTGTTTATTGTTTTAATTATTTAAGGATAAATTATGTGAATTGTATTACCATTATTATTTATTTTACCAGGAAAATCTTCGGTAGGTAACAAGGGCGGATGAACAGTTTTACGAGAATTACGAATAATTCCGATTGTGAGTAACCTTGACAGTGACATAGTCATCTCGGCAACTAGTTGTTATACAGCGTAATATAAACACTCGGGATATTATGCATATGAAATTTCGGATACGGATAGGTTCCGGATATAGGAATGATTATTATACCGGATACGGATGGGGATATGAAATTTCAGATTGTCCGTTAGTTTCGGATAATTTCGATTACGGATATTAATTTTTTAAGGATTTTCAAAAGTAAAATACAAATAGCTAATAGAATGGTTACATAACGTGTCTCAATTAGGCTCCGCCCCTATCCGATATTATCCGGAACTTTTATTTCGGTTACGAATATTTTTTTATATCGGATATCCGAAAGTTTCAATTACGATTACGGAGCTCCCTAACATCCCTGATAAACATGAGGCATTTCAATAATAATATCTCAGGACAATTCATACAGCGCCATCTAGTCCTAAGTTAAGCAGAGTTTCTGTTATGGGTACTATACAAGTAATAGATACATACATTTTCTTGTAAATACATACGTAATAGACAGAGACAGAGAAGGAGATTGTTAGTAATGTGGATAAATAATTCCATTGCTAGCAATGTACTAAGACAGGTTGACCACCTCGCGGTTCGCCCTGAAAACCATCTTGTTAAATTCCCGTTGAATTTGCTACGACGGTATAACAGGGACCTACTCATCTTATCATCCTCCACTGGCGCTGCGTCATGTCAGAGTCATATTACCTCTCAAATAAATGGAATAAGGAAGAAGCAGATTTTGAGAAAATAATACATATATACATATACTCTCAATCTCATCTCTCTCTCTCAATCTCATACTCTCAATCAAGTAGCAGAGGGAACGGATTTATTTGTGTGTACTCTATGTGAATTCAGATATTTTGGATTGTATTTTATATATTTTACTATATGCGACTTATTTAAATAAACATATATGTCATTTGTATAAGTTGCGCGCGCAACTGATTATTGTCAATCCGTTGTCTCCTTATGAATTTAAATGAATAAACTGCTCTGCAATTTTATTTTATAAATACATAAATATAATCCTGGTATAGCCTATAACTGATGACCCTATGCTATGTTACCAAACCGCTGTTGTAATATTGATGCACTGTTGTATTGGGCATATGCCTGTAAGGATAGTGTGTATATAAATAAATAAATATAAATATATTTATTGTCAGTTATATATATTTAGATATACATATATATAGATATATATATATTTGAAGCTAGAACAGATTTCTGGGAGTGGTACATCACTCCCAGAAATCTGACAGATATTAAATATAATTAACGAAAATGGGCAACAAAAGGGGAGTTAAAATGAGATCAATTCTTCTACCGTTTGAACAATATCTACAGTATTAAAGATACTTTAACTTTTATAAAACTTTGTATTTATGCAATTTGTTATTTTAATATATATATATAATTAGCTGACCCCACAAACGTTGTTTTGCAATATAAATTAAAAACGCTATTAAAAAAATTAGATTGATGCAATGTGATGGAATGAAAATTTAGGGTTGTATGTCTTTTTCAATAGTAAATCATAATAAAATAAAACTAAATATTATGTGTACAAAATAAAAAAAATCATACTCAGTGGTGGAAACCCTTATCACTTAGGGGTATGATAAATAGTTTGTAGCCGATTCTCAGATCTTCTGTATATGCATATACATTTCTTAACATTGTGATACGAGAATTTTATACATACTCGTATATAAGATGTATAAGAATTTTGTATATGTTTGTCTGTAATCGAATCACGTTGAAACAAAGGATATTGTACAGACGGACAACCATCAGAAACTGTAAATAATTCAACACCTTTAGTTCTAAGAAAAAGTTTCCTACGCAATTATTTACACGTAACTTGAGCTACAGGTGTTGTTTTATACACGATTTTATGATTTTAAATTTGTATTGAAATATAATATTATTACTACTAGTTACGAAAACTGTCTGTCCGCTTATTCTATAGTCCTGGTTCGCCTATTCTATAGTCCTAGTATATATACGTCTCGTCTATAGGCGAGTCCGCCCTACTCTCTCATATATACAAAAAATCATACTCATGTTTCATTGTACGCATGGTTCTCATAGAAATGGTTGTGCCTTGCGAGGTATCGAATCTGCGACCGTCCGAAGTAAGTCGGTGTGCTAAACCGCTAGACCATCGAGACATTAAAAATAAATAAAAATAAATAAAATAAGACCGCCTTTTGTAAAACATTTATTTTCATTGTTTTGTATATGTCCTATGTTTATATGTGCAATAAAGGATACTTTATTATTACATTTACAAATATATGTAGTATATGCTTTAGGATACTTTATTTTATAAAAAATAGATTAAATATGAGAGGTCTGAATTAACGGGTAACCCATGTCACAGTTGGGTTAATTGGCCGTTGGCCTACTGACAGAAAGGTCAAAATGATGCTCCACTGCTGACAGTTCATCTACGTAAAA